GTGAATTCACATAAAAAAGTTGTCTTTAAGCAATCTGTTTGTATTTGTAGATCTTAACAACCCCAGATCATTAGTATCTTAATTAGTTTGTTTCATCTGTTAAGTTTTGATTTTTTATTTTGTGATGTAGTATTTGATTGAAGAAATGTGTTTTTCTCATTGCTTCATTTGAGGTGTGTCTTGGGGTAGGTGAATCAACAGATTAAACTTGTATCGTTGCACATTCTCTATGTATTTGAAGATCTTAACAACCCTAGATTATTAGTAGCTTTCTTGGCGTTGTTTAATCTGTTAAAGTTCTGATTTTTATGTTGTGGTTTAGTATGTGATCGAAGAAGTTGGCTTTAATTCTTGATTTCTGATATGGGTTTTTTCTCATTGCTTCATGTGGGATGTCTTGGGATAGGTGAATCAACACATTAAGCTTGTGTCTTTATGCATTCTATGTATTTGAAGATCTTAACAGCCCCAGATCATTAGTAGCTTTATTAGTTTTGTTTAGTTTGTTGAAGTTTTGATTTTTATTTTTGTGATGTAGTATTTGATTGAAGAAGTTAGCTTTAATTCTTGATATCTGATATGTGTTTTTCTCATTGCTTCACTTGGGGTGTCTTTGGATAGTTGAATCAACACATTTAACTTGTGCCTTTGCACATTTTCTATGTATTTGAAGATCTTAACAACCCCAGATCATTAGTAACTTTATTAGTTTTGTTTAATTTGTTTAAGTTTTGATTTTTATTTTGTGGTGTAGTATTTGATTTAAGAAGTTAGCTTTAATTCTTGATATCTGATATGGGCTTTTCTCATTGCTTCATTTGGGGCTTGGGGTAGGTGAATCAACACATTAAACTTGTGTCTTTGCATATTCTCTATGTATTTGAAGATCTTAACAACCCCAGATTATTAATAGCTTTCTTGGTGTTGTTTAATCTGTTAAAGTTCTGATTTTTATGTTGTGATTTAGTATGTGATTGAAGAAGTTGGCTTTAATTCTTGATATTAGATATGGGTTTTTCTCATTGCTTCATTGGGGTGTCTTTGGTTGAGTAGCTTTAAAAAAAGTCTTCAGGATTTATGGTGCCTGAGGTCGTGTTGTTGGATCACTTAGTTAGGATTCTTAAAGTTTGTTCTTTGGTTTTTCTCTTTTTGGTGTAGCTTTCTTTTCTTTTTTTTTTTCCAAAAAGTTTGGAACTTTTTCTTTTTATGTTTCATCCAGATCTGATCTAAAATGTTTTTGTTTCTTTAGTATACAATAGTTGTCTTTTTCTTGGTACTTTCTCATATTGCTCTGTCATCAGATTCTGTTATTCCTTCCTGCAGTTTGGTTTGGAAACAATTTTTTACTTTTGCTTCTGTGGATTGGTTTTTATGATTGTTTCTGTACCCTTTCAGTTTAAGGTATCTGAATAGTCATTTCTCTGTTAATGGTTTGACAGAAAAAAAAGTTGAATCTATTTCTAACCATTGATCTTTCTCACTCGTGGTGCATCTTTACAAGACTCCAAATAATCAAATTGTTCCCTTTCATTGAGCAACTTTTGCCAAATTGAGGTCAACTTGTTGTTTAAATTCGTGTCGTGACTGAGGGGACTACAGTAGGAATCGTGACTTTTGGTTCTTTCTTTAGCTTAATCCTAGAACTAATATCCCATACGGGAAGTGATAATGAGAGTGGATGCTAGCAGAAATATCATTCCAAAATGTGATCTAATTATCTGTTCTCGTTGTTGCTATCTGCTATTGCTCTTGTACCTTTCATGATTTCAGTTTCATTAATTTCCCATCTTCTGGTCATAGGTATACAACATGGCTACCCCGACAAGAATTGGTCTTGCTGGTCTTGCTGTTATGGGCCAAAATCTTGCTCTCAATATTGCTGAGAAAGGATTCCCTATATCTGTTTACAACCGAACCACTTCAAAAGTTGATGAGACTGTTGAACGAGCTAAAAATGAAGGAAATCTTCCTCTCTATGGCTTTCATGACCCAGAGTCCTTTGTCCTCTCTATCCAAAAGCCTCGCGTCATAATAATTCTTGTCAAGGCTGGAGCACCAGTTGATCAGACCATCAAAACCCTATCTTCTTACATGGAGAAAGGAGACTGTATCATTGACGGTGGCAACGAATGGTATGAGAACACAGAGAGGAGAGAGAAAGAAATGGCTGAGTTAGGTCTTCGTTATCTAGGGATGGGAGTTTCAGGTGGTGAAGAGGGTGCTCGAAATGGACCATCACTGATGCCTGGAGGCTCTTTTGAAGCCTACAAGTACATAGAAGATATCTTACTAAAGGTCGCTGCTCAAGTTCCTGATAGTGGACCTTGTGTTACATACATTGGTAAAGGTGGTTCTGGAAATTTTGTTAAGATGGTTCACAATGGAATTGAATATGGTGATATGCAGTTGATTGCAGAGGCTTATGACGTTCTGAAATCTGTTGGGAAGCTCTCTAATGATGAATTGCATCAAGCCTTCTCAGAATGGAACAACGGGGAGCTCCAGAGCTTCTTGATTGAAATTACAGCTGATATATTTGGAATCAAGGATGACAAAGCGGATGGACATTTGGTAGACAAGGTTTTAGACAAAACTGGAATGAAAGGTACTGGTAAATGGACCGTTCAGCAAGCTGCTGAACTGTCAATTGCTGCTCCTACAATAGCCTCATCCCTAGATTCCAGATTCCTTAGTGGATTGAAGGATGAAAGGGTGCAAGCAGCCAAAGTTTTCAAATCTTGTGGGGTCAGCGACATCCTTGTTGAACAGTCTGTGGATAAGAAGCAATTGATTGACGATGTCAGAAAAGCACTCTATGCTTCGAAAATATGTAGCTATGCTCAGGGAATGAATTTGATAAGGGCAAAGAGTGCTGAGAAGGGATGGGACTTGAAACTAGGGGAGCTTGCCAGGATCTGGAAAGGTGGTTGCATTATCCGTGCAATATTTTTGGATCGTATTAAGCAAGCTTATGACAGAAACGCAGATCTCGCTAACCTACTTGTGGATGAAGAGTTTGCAAAGGAGGTAGTTGAACGCCAGTCTGCCTGGCGAAGAGTGGTCTGCCTAGCTATAACCTCGGGTATTAGCACACCTGGCATGTCTTCAAGTCTTGCTTACTTTGACTCATACAGGAGGGAAAGGCTTCCTGCAAATTTAGTCCAAGCTCAAAGGGATTACTTTGGTGCTCATACTTATGAGAGGACCGATATGCCTGGGTCATTTCATACTGAGTGGTTCAAGATTGCCAAACAGTCGAAGATCTGAGCTCTGCTGGTTACATTCTTGTCATTGACCTAATTGAATAAAGTGCATGTTGTAACTGCTCAAAGTTTTTATATGTTTGTTCTGGAGCCTATTTTGTACCTGTAGGCCTTGGCGGCTTTTCTCTCATATTATGTCTTCCAAGTTATTGGAACCTGTCGTACAATCAAAGAGAGTATTATTTCTTCTTTTAGATAAGCCTCTTATAGATAGATCTTCATCAGCCATTACTTTTGCACTATGGTGATTTGCATTCTCATTATCCTTGATCATTTAATACATCTATCTTCTTCGGTCACTACATATTATCTGATTCATTTGAATGATCAGTCCTGGTATATACTGGATAAGTAATACCTTTGCTAGGATCAACCCCTGGTATGGAAGATCTGGTATTGACCTCTCGACATGGTGCCAAATACTGAGTACTGGATGCAAGAAGAGTTCTGGATTTTTGGACTGATCATTTTGATCTCTTTCTTTATCAAACAAAAAGTTAAGTTGAGTTGCTTGCTAAGTGAGCAGGTTAGGGTGAGACACTGTTATCAGTGTCTTTTCTGCAGTTTGAATCAAGCAAATGACTTGAATTCCCTTAAACCTTTGTTGGCAAGTCAGTAAGCAATATAATCACTTCTTGCCTATTTCTATCGTCACGTCAAAGCCTAAAGTTGCTGCATTTTCTAATCAAGTACATTAGAGTTCCCCTATCAGTGTGTTTTCAGAGGTTTAAATCTTTCTAGGAACTAGATCATCAATAGTCAAACACTCGCAAGCTTAGACCTTCAAAAAATTAATTTCCTCTCCATATGTATGTTCTTGTCCATCAGTTCCTCTTTTCCATTGATTTTATAGAAAAAAATGATGGCTACGTAATGGTATTACAACTCTCTTTTGCCTCTTAACTTCTCATGACCAAATTTTCAGTAAGCAGCTGGCCGTACTGAGACTTGTTTGTCAATGCCTGTGCATCTTCATTGCTGTCATTGTGTATCCATGGAGTTTATAGGTTTCTTGTTTTAATTTCCATTACTTTCTACACTGATCTTACGTTTAGACATTCATCTGTTTTGTTAGTTTCTTATATCTGATTGAGTCACTGGAATTTGATTCTCTCTGAGTTAATTTGCTAGCTAATGATATAGACAACTCATTTTTGCACCTTTCAAATTATTGCAACATGAAACGTAGCTATCTTAGCATCGTCTTAGGTTGTCTGTTTGTAGATAGTGCACGTAGCCTGAACTCAAGATGTTAACAAGCTAAGTGACAGATGAATGAATTGTCAATTCTGCATATCTTTTCGTCACATGGCTGGTTGGTTCATCAAAAGTTTTGCTACTTCTTGCTTATAGCCCTTCTCATTAGAAAGTAACAAAATGAAGTGTCATTTTCACTCTGTTGTGTGAATTCTGAAAATGAGGTTTGAACGTGCACCCAGGGGTGTGGTCTAGCGTTCAGTAAAGTATGGGAGAACTTTGGAGATTAGGGTTTCAAATTAGGACTTCACCTCATCCCTTGATTCCTTTAGACATAATTTACTTCTCTTGCTACATTTACGTAGAGGTTCTTCTTACGAGGTGAGTTCTCCTATCAGTACAGTTGAAGCAACTGAACAACAAGTTTAGAATATCTAAAGTAAGAAACTCAAAAAAACTGAACAGAAATAGAAGTGAAAGATTATAACAAGTTCCTCAATTTCCTGCTTCATAGAGTGACTGGTTCATGAGATTTATCGGTTGAGACGAAAGAGATGAAAACTTGACATTTGAATATATGTGAAAATTTACATCAGGAATGACAGACTCTTAAATCATGACATTATAAGATATGTTATGTATTACATTTGTTGTTCATGAGCTGAATGGGTTTGCCTAATCTTATACAGGATCTCTAATAACGAAGGTGAAATACTTCAAGATTTTAATCTAAATCTGATATCAGAAATGGGAATCAAAGCAGAAGGATTTAATTTACAGTGATTTGTGGCGTCTCGGTTTTTGTCTCTTAACTCACATGTTTTCCTCTTGTTGTTGATCTGCAATAACCATAACCTTTGCCACTCTTTGCTTTATGTCCTGAATCTTCTTTTGCTGCTTTTGTATTCTTATCAGACAATTTCTTCTTTGCCTGTTTCTGTTGCTGTAATTGTTCCTTACTTGAGAACTTCCTGTTATCTTTTTCCACATGCTTTCCATAAATTTGCTCTATGTTTGTGCATAGTACTACTCCTTGATGACTTGGACCAGATGAAGCATCCGAAGTCATGGAATCATCGCTGCCACCATCTTCAACATGATCATCACCCTTCATCGGAGTTCCTTCATCATCGTCTTCATCATTATACTCACGGTAAGGTGAACCAATATACATCGTCCAACCTGACTCATTGCTGTTGCATTCTTCTATTCCTCCAGGATGTTTAGGATACTCCATTACACTCACTAATCGAAAACTCAAAGAAAAAAAGAACAAAAAAGACTAACCTTTACTCATATCCTCCATGCATGTTCACTTGTTATACTTATCTGTCACACCTGAAATATCATCCTATTTACTCACAGTGTCTATCTCATAAATAGAGAAGCAAGTTCTGAAATGACAGTACAAAGAAGAATGCCCCACACCAGAAATAGCTAAGTCAGTCCCAATGTTCTTGATTAGATAAAAGAGGCCCTCTCACAGTACTCTTTACATATAAGAACTTTTAAATTCATGTGAGATATATGCACTGAATCCAACTGTCTTTTGGCTTCTTATATGAGGTTAAATTTTTTTTAGTATAATGTAAAACTCCCAACTTTTTTCCTCTGCTCTTATCTTTCACCTCATAAAGCAAGCATTTGTCTTTTTGTGGAGGTAACATGGTCAAAAACACACCCGTCGTATCACTTTTTCACGAGTTTCATATCTGAACTATTAGGTGTTTGTCTTTTCCTTGCCTAAACTATATATCAAAACATACCTCGATGTTGACTAAACCAACTGTTTGAATGCAAACACCAATTTCAAAATACTTTGTGATAGATAGTCGGTGATAGTTCAGTTTATTTCATGATTTGCTATTACCATTCAGGAAAAAAGGTTGAGCTTTTTCTCTTATTGTTTATTTCTTTCTTATCTTAATGAGCATTCCCCCACTTTATATTCTTGTTTTTGGCTTATTATCTATTGAGATTAGACATCAAATGTCACTTTGCATGTTTTCCAGGTCTATATATAGTGTGGCTATCTTTTTTTGATGGAATCTTGAAATATTTTTCCTCATTTTTTGGGCTCCATATGGTGTGAGGGGAGTGTACTAATTCTTGGAAGTTATTTAAAATAATGGGACAACATTTTCTTAGCTGGGGATTTGATTCAACAGCTTGTTTTCTTCCATCATGTGTTATTTTTTGTTTTCATCACTTAAAATTATGGAAATTAAGGCCTCATGTGCAAGAACATTGATGCTTTTAATATTTTTTTTGGATTGCAATCATATGCATGCATGTGTGTCATCATTTTTTCTGTGGAACTCATTTTTACACATCACCAAAGTTCTCTTTCGTAATTTTGGCCTGAATTGTTAGTTTCATTTCTAAATTATTGACAATTTTAAAAAACAGACTTTTACTTGACTATCTAAATTCAAATACATCATTCATCTTGTAATATGAGCGATTTATACTTCTCGTAAAGTTTAAAGGTGTTTTTAACACTTTTTATTAAGAGCCGCATGTTCTTATAAGAGTTTGAGACAACTTATTATATCATGTAGCAAATCCGAGGTGTATCTAAGTTTATTTAGTCAAGTAGAAGTTTGTTTTCGAGGTTGCATCAATAATTTGGCAATGAAACTAATAATTTACGTCAAATTTAGAGGTATTTTTAATATTATCTGGCTGTATAGTGTTCTAACTAAATTTGGTTGGCTTTTAGTTTCATTGCCCAAGGAAGAGTTTATAATTAGTATTAGAATCAAATGTTCTAATCTTTAGTTAGTGCATCTTAATAGTCAGAATCGTGAGGTTTCGTGTTTAAATTCTAGCAAAGATAAAAATATTATTTGACTTCTTTTCATTACGATATATACTCGTATTGCTAGGATAAGGGATCATATATTTTATGGAACTAGCTGAGGTGCGTGTAAGTTGATTCATTAGCACAATAAATATTAGAATAAAATATTTTCATCGATCTAGTGGTCAATGAAACAAATTTTAGCAAAAGCAAAAATATTAAATGACTTCCTTCATAGAGTTATTCAATACCTATATATAGGTAAAATTAATTGAGGTGTGCGTAAGCTAATCCAGACAAGTAATAAAAAAAAAGATTGTTGATTCTATTTAAAAATTCTATTCCTCAATGTGACAGATGAGGTTCATGCATTTTAATCTGGCATTATATATTAGGTTTAATCATTCATTGATAAGATGAATTATTCTAGATTTTATTGTACTAAATAGAAATATTCCCAATCAGAAGTGACCAACCAATAGAATGGCTTATAGAAAGAGCAAAGAGCCATAGCCAGTCTGTTTCTTTAAGTATATTTTTTATTTCTATTTTTTGATAATATTATTAGTGTTGGAATTGAACATGGTAAGATGAAATTAGAACATGGGGCAAGTTATCTCTTTAATTATAATATAAAAAAAAATAAAGTTCCCTTCTTTTTGATTCTTAGGTGGTTGACGGGAATGTATAGTCGATTTTTTTTCCAGTATTCGATATTTGAACTAATTCAGATCGATGATATGTTAAGTTCATTTTAGAGTAAGTGTGATCATACCTTATTTATTCAGCATGTAAGGTCCATTTTGGGGCTAGTGCAATCATATAATCTTTTTTCATTCTTAAAATTGAGATTAAGATGGAAATAATTAAGGGTTTTAATAAATTATATTTATTTAAAAACTATGTAACAAACCGAAACAAGTTACTATATTTACTTGAAATAGTGTTGGTTTTAAAAAAAATGTACACAATCTAACGATAGTTTTATATGTGTCGATACATTTATTATGTGTGTGAATATAGTTAGGTAGATATATTGAATACGTGTGGATATACTTACTAAATATGTAAATACAATGTATTTCGCTATTTTATAAGCACAGATACAATATATTTTGTTACATCGATATTGTAAACATGTTGATACATTTATGTGCTTATATATTTCGTTACACCGATATTGTATACATATTGCTATAATGCATTTATGCATTTCATTATTAGTATTATGTGCACAAATATAATGTATTTTGCTATGCTTTGAAGCTAAAATAAAAGATCCTTAGAATTTTCTTTCATTTCAACTCCTATTAAAAGGACCTACATTGATTTGAAGATAAATTATATTGAAATTTATTATTTTGATATTATATTTTATTGATTTTTTAGTTTCTTGTGTTAAAAATAATATCATTGCATAATTAATAACTAAGAAGAAAGTGTTTGTTTTGTTTATAAAAATTATCTTTTCATTTTATTTGGTGGAAAAGGATTTGAGAAACCTTAAGACATATTTTTGTTATATTTATCATTTTATTTCTGAATAATTAATCTTAGTACTATTATTTCGCAATCTGATAGAAATAATTTATTTCAATATCAATTATTAATTTTGATATAACTTATTTCAGAATAAATAATCAAACAAAGCGTAAAGCAATACTAAATTAATTATATATATAATTTAATTTAACAAGTTATTGTTATTTTTATAGTAACCTGTATTTATAAGGTTAACGAATGAACAGAAACAGAAATAAGATGAAGCAGAAAATACATAAAATACAACAAATAATTCGAGTCCACAGAAGCTATTGTGTGTTCTTAAGAAATTTAATCCCCTCACTGTACTCAAGGTTATGGATTAATTTCTCCCAAGATAAAACGGATTAAACCTGTTAAAGAAATAGTGGTACCTCAAATTTCTTTAACTTCAACGAACTTAAGAACAACAACAAGTCACACAGACTCAGTCGATCGACACTTTGATTTTATTTGAGAGAAAAATAAATGCAGAGAAGGAAAATTTTCAGTGTTTGAAAAATAAAAAATTGACTTCCTTTTATAGCCATTTTCAGCAAGGAACGTGTCTGTTCAGAGAAATCTGTTCAGACCCGTTTTATCCAGAAAGTTGTGTCTTTTGGAAAAATAACAACTTTTCGGAAAAATGTGTCTGTTAAGAAAATAACGACTTTTTTTTGGAAAGTAACGACTTTTCGGAAAGAATAACAACTTTTTGGAATATCACCGTTACCCGCAAATTTATAAGATTTAACAAAAACTGATTAAATAAATTTTATCCAAAAAAATTATCAATCAATCACATCATTTGCCAAATCCAAATTCAAATTCAAATCCGAGGCCGAGCGACAACGACGACGGCGCAAGGGGGCATCTTCTTCTTAGCTCTTTAAGAAGTAATGGAAGTGTTACCTTATATAAGGACAACAATTTCCCTTTCTTTTGCCGATATTGGAGAAATGACTTTTCATTTTCCCTTCAAAATAGTTCTCTCACTTTTCATATTCTCTCTTTTCTTTTCTCATTCACACTTGCTAAACCCCAACAATATCATTATACTTTTATGATGGTACTTTTCTACCACTGAACCTGACTCCGTCATTGAATCTGGCTCTGATACCACTTGTTAGGACCGAAAATAAGCAGGTGTAAATGCGGAAGCTAGCAATGCAAACCTCAAAAGACCACGAGTAAGAAGACAACGAGAAATATACCAAAAGACACAAAGATTTAACGTGGTTCGGTCAATCGACCTACGTCCACAAAGGAGATGAGCAATCCACTATAAATATGAGAGTATAAAATACAGAGGGAAACAACCTCAACCAATTCACTCGGAATACATGGGAGGTTCACACAAGTGATAACGTATCAAGCTTGTGACTCACAATTTCTCCCCCTGACCAAAACTCTCAAAACCCTTAAGACTACATTGTGAATGCTAATTAAGTTAGAAGGAACATACCTCTATTTATAGAGTCCTAAACCTTTTCCTACCAAAAAAAGAATAGTCAATTCAAAACCTTTTCCTAAAAGGAAAACCTATTTATGGTAAGAAATCAGGGCAAATAAAACCCAACAAAATTCTTGTTAGGATCGGAAATAAGCAGGTGTAAACGCGGAAGCTAGCAAAGCAAACCTCAAAAGACCACGAGTAAGAAGACAACGAGAAATATACCAAAAGACTCGAAGATTTAACGTGGTTCGGTCAATCGACCTACGTCCACAAAGGAGATGAGCAATCCACTATAAATATGAGAGTACAAAATACAGAGAGAAACAACCTCAAACAATTCACTCGGAATACATGGGAGGTTCACACAAGTGATAACGTATCAAGCTTGTGACCCACAAATTCTCCCCCTAACCAAAACTCTCAAAGGCCTTTAAGACTACCTTGTGAATGCTAATTAAGTTAGAAGGAACATGCCTCTATTTATAGAGTCAAAAAAAAGATTAGTCAATTCAAAACCTTTTCCTAAAAGGAAAACTTATTTATGATAAGAAATCAGTGCAAATAAAACCCAACACTTTTCTCTAAACTAATTTAAGCTTATAATAAACTAATTATTTTGATTTGATTGAAGTATATATGGGGTATAAACTTAAACATGACATGTTATTCCAGGACCTAATAGCTCCAATTATTAAATCTATTTACTAACATTGGACTAGTCTAATTTCCTTGTTCCATCAAAGGCTGTCAATTGGATATTTTTTAGAAAAATAAAATAAAATAAAGTCCATAAGTTTGATTTCTTTTATAGTGAAACATTAATTCTACTCCTAAATATATAAATCAATTATATATCCAAATTTATTATTAATATACTATTAATCATAGTTGTCAATGTTAATCTCAACATGTAGTGTTGCTATATATTTAATTTATAAGATTTAAAACCTAATTGTACAAATGGAATTAATTTATAATTGTTTTTGTTCCACACGTCTTTATATAATCATGCAATTGTTGATTCTATGATAAATAACAAATATCTAGTTATAGTATATCCATGCATTAAATATTTTGTAATTATTTTTTAAAATGATGATTAGTTATCTCAACATGCATATAGTGTTGCTATTTAATTTGCAAGCCTAATACCTAATTATATAACTAATTAGTCATGCAAATATCGCTCCTATATAGGGTGATATCATGTATCTACCTTATGTTCTTCAAGCGTCAAATATTCATTTTAATCAACGATGTGACATATCCTATCTAAAATCTAAAATCTAAAATTAATTTTTTTTTACATATTTTTATAATCATGCAATTATCACTTGAATAACAAACACATTTTTTTTTACCTATAGTATCCAAGCATCAAATATTCATAACAAATTCTTGAAATTATTTGTGTTATCACTATTTAAAAGTCTAAAAATCTAATTACGTGAACTAGATTAGTTATACTCTAATCAAGAAATTGGACACCAAATAACCTCATCCTCACCCCCCACACACCCTCCAGAAAAAAACTATCATCTATGGATATATTTTCTCATTTAACCATAGTAAGTTAATATGATTTGGTAAAACATTCGATACGAATGAGTTTTTATAAATTTTAATTTGGAATTATTTCCACAAGACCCTTTCGTTTTGGTTAAACATTGGGAACTCCACCATTTAAACTTGGGAAAGTCCAAATATAAGCATGGGCCAAGATTTGAAGGCCCAAATGGTAAAGAAGATCGCTAAACAACAGTTTTGGGCCCAAATCACTAGCACAATTATTTTTTAGGGCAACTTTCACATATAGCAAACAAAAAATTTATATTTGTATGCTATAGCAAACTTTGCATAATTGCGCTCCATAGCAAACATAAAACTGTATAATTTGCTATACATATACAATTGTATAATTCGCTGGCCTAAATTGTATAATTCGCTGGCCTATTTCGCTGCAATGTATAATTTGTTTTGCATACAGTTGAATCAAATTAAAATGTATGTATATTGCATAATTATAAGTGTATAGAAAGAAGATATATGATTTTCTCGCTTTATACAAAAACAGAAACACAATATATACACTTATGTTGTATAAAGCTAGAGAAAATTGTATTTCACTGCAATTGTATAATTCGTTGGCCTTTTTCTCTGCAATATTTGAAGTAAAATGTTTGTAAATTGTATAATTTATAACACGAGGATATACACTTTTGCATGTGTATATACAATTTTCTCTCGCTTTATACAAAACAGAAACAGAATTATACACTTCTGTGTATAAAGCGAGAGAGGCGAGCGAGAATGGAGAGTGGCGAACGAGATTTTTGGGAGAGAGACGCTGGCAAATTTTAGCTAATGTTTGCTATGGAGCACAATTAAATCAAACCCTAGCTATTCCATTTAATTTTAGGTTATTAGTTTGCTATTATATACAATTTTCCCTATTTAAGGGGAACTTTCACATATAGTCACTTAATAATAGCTTAATTACTCTCCATAGCTATAGTTTGGACAATTTGTAGCTAAATGTTATAGGAAGGAGATAGGCGAGCAAGACAGGGAGAGAGAGGAGAGAGGTGAAAGAGCGAGCAAAAAGTGGGAGAGAGATACGGGTTAATCTTGAGTGATAATTATAACAAACTATAGCTATGATGAGTAATTAAGTAGTATAAGTTTGTATAACCACTTAATTTTCCCTTTATTTAAAGCATGTACTATTCTGGGTTTTGGCACAATCATTTAATTTATAGCCACTTTTTATTAAAAAAAATTGCACATATAGCACACCAAAGATACGGTATTTGAGAAAAATGACTTTTTAAAAGAAAATAACGAGATTATATATATATTTTTACTTATATAACAGATAACATTCACTATAACAAAATTAGTTTTTAGGGGCAATAAATATACACATTAACTAAGATTATTAAAGTATTTACCATCATTGTCATTAAAACCAATATAAATTTTAGAAACATTAACAAAATATTTTTATTGCCTCTAAAGATACATATTTAACGACAAAAAATATTTTTAATATATCAACTAAAAAATAAATAAAAATTCACTTATTTTTCAAGAATATTTTTTTTTGTAAAAAACATTTTTAAAATAAAATGTGGGACAAATATGGTTGGATTAAAAAATAAAATAAACATAGTATCTTTTGTCAACAATAAGGCACATGTACTCATGGCTTACATTTAAAAAATTATAATTATATATATGTTGGTAATTTTTTGGTTAGATGCATAGTCGTGGGAAGACACTATGACTATAAGATCATATTTATAAAATTCACTTAAATATATCATGATTGCTTAATAATCCTTGATAGCCTTATATATAATATGGATTACAAAATCATCATTTTTTATTATTAGAAGAAATAACTAACACTTAATTAAGAAAAAAAAAAGAAGAAAAAAAACAAATCAAAAACTTAGAAGAAGTACCATTATTTCATATATTTTCATAATTCTCATCCAATTTGATACAATATTGTTAAATATTTGACGAACATCGATTATAACGACTCATTTTGATAAAATAACCATGTCACATCCTAATCCTCTGTAGCAAAAACATAGATCATAATAGGAATTATAATATATATATCATTTTCGATAATTGACACACTTATTCCTAAGTTTTATAACCATGAAAAGAATATAAATGTTATTAGTGCTTATTCGACGTTATTGGCATATACCATATAAAAGAGCATGATATTCAACGTTTGTTGGTGAGCTCCATGTTGATTCAGGGCTTTGGCAAGTCTAGACTATGTGTATGTTCATAGTCATACAGTCATGGATTTCGGTGGAGACTTTGTAAACATTGTAAAGCTATTATTTGTAATCATAGTTTCACTTATGACATGTATCGATTCATCTAGTCGACATGTGTTGTATATGAAGCTTCTCATTAGTAAATCTATCTGCATAGTAATTTACTTTCTCATCATAGGTCACTTGTAAAACATGTGTTCATATGATACTTGTCCGCTTTACCTAGTGTTGGAGTGTGACAAACTCAAACATATATTTAAGGATTACTTTAAATCTATCTCTAAACATAAGAGATTAATTTTGTTATGTTCTTATTAAATTTAGTGAGTGCGAGATACTTTTATTCCATACCATTTTCTTCTATTACATTTATATAAGCCTATCGCAATAGACTCAGAGCCCGTTTGGGTGGGCTTATAAAAGCAGCTTTTAAAAAGTACTTTTGAAAGTACTGAAACTTATTTTTAAATTAAGCAGTTATGCGTTTGGATAAAAGTGCTGAAGTTAAAAAAAAAGGTTGTTGATGTGTTTGGCAAATAAGTGCGATAATCAGTTTTTTAAATCAAAATGTCTGAAATACCCTTAAAAGCTGTTAACATAATAAAAGTTAATTAATTTATATTTTACAGCCATAAATAATTATATTTTGCTATCATTCACATATTTTTTCTCACACAAATTATTTATAAGAGGAATATAAACTTATTATAGATTTTAAAAATATATAATTTGAATAAATTAAAGAACGATTTTACATTTTATTTTAGTTTCATCCATAGGTAATAATAATTGTCTATCATTCACATATTTCTTTATTATCACAAATTATTTATAAGAGGAATATAAATTTTTATTTAAGTTATATGTGCAACTTATTTTACATTTTAATAATATATAATTTGAATAGATCACTTGAAAGATTTAAGATTTATTTTATTTTCATTCATTAGTAATAGTAATTCTCTATCATCCACACGTGAAAAGGGAAAAATAGAAGAAAGAGATGTTAGGGTTATGTGGGTAATTTGGAGATTGTATAAAAATATTAAGGGCAAAAAGATAAAAATGTGATCAACTTAAAACAGTTTATAAGCTGGAAAAAAAAAGCACCCCTACCCCAACTTTTAACTTTTGGCTTAAAATAAGTTTTTTTTTACTTAAAATAAGTTATTTTGAATATTGCTAAACAACTAAGAGCCTGTTTGGCTCAGCTTAAAAGCTGGTCAAACTGACTTAAAAGCTGGTTTTTGACTTATTTAGCTGTTTGACAATACTCAAAATAGCTTATTTTAAGTTAAAAAAAACTTATTTTAAGCCAAAAGTTAAAAGCTGGGGTAGGGGTGCTTTTTTTTTTAGCTTATAAGCTATTTTAAGTTGACCACATTTTTATCTTTTTGCCCTTAATACTTTTATACAATCTCCAAATTATTCATATAACCCTAACATTTCTTTCTTCCATTTTTCCCTTTTCACGTTTGACGTAACAACTTCAACACTTTTATCCAAACGCATAACTGCTTATTTTAAAAATAAGTTTCAGCACTTTTAAAAGTACTTTTTTAAAGCTGCTTTTATTAAGCCCATCCAAACGGACCCTAAATAAGTCAAAAATCAGCTTTTAAGTCAGTTTAATCAGCTTTTAAGCTGAGCCAAACAGGCTCTCAATGACTTTGAAAGAAGTGCTTTTTGTTGGATCGATGGAATTTATCGTACCTTCATGTGGATCTAATTAAAGCTATAAAAAGTCTTTGCTATAAATAAATATATAAAAAATATAATATATAGTTTAGGAAATTCATTTTCTTAAGAAAATAAAATCTGTCATGGACCCACCTAATTCACCACTTGATCCAAAGTTTTTATTTCGAGTTAAACGAAGTTTCCCAAAGTCGCTGTTCTAAAGAATCGATTTTTTTTCTCAAAGAGTTCAAAAGGATTCATAGATTTAACGTAATTTATTGGTAAAGATTGAATCTTTTTGGGATTCTGAGAAAATGGGTTTGCTTGAAGGGACTTTTCTTGATTGGGAATATGAATCTTATCCATCATATGAAGATTTCGCTGTTCTTCCATTGTTTGCTCTCTTCTTTCCATCTGTCAGATTTTTGCTCGATAGATTTGTTTTTGAGGTAATTTTCTATTAATTTTTATATTTTTGGTTATGTTTAATTGGTTCTAAGTGATTCAGTCTTGAAATTTCTGATTTTTTTGGATTTTTGTGGATTTTTTTTGGTTCTAAGTGATTGAATGTTTTTAGTTTTATGATCTATATGTTAATTAACTGGTATTTGAGTGTGGTGATTGTTGTAGCTATTCGTTTGAACTGTTAGTTTTAGAAGCAAAACTGATGATATTCATGAAGGATAAATATTTTGATTGGTTGAAGGTATAGGTCAATCTGTTATGGTAGTTAGGTCTAACTCAACCCTAGAACTAGCTCAAGAGGTGAGGAGAGAGTAGAAACCATCCATGCCATGATTGACCTTGTGGGACTTGGTTGAACATCTGGAGCGTGGACAATTTTAAGATGAGAGCTCAACATTGTGAATGAGAATTGGGATGTGTGCAGCTCTTATACCATGTTATGAAACTTGGTCCTTATTTAACGCTAAAAGTTAGCTCAAGACGTGAGGAATGCCCAAATCATATAGAGACTACCCATCCCATAATTGAACGATGTGGGACTTCTTCAACACAATCAATCTTTAAATAGGAGAAGAACTCACATTCATAGGTTAATGTTTGCCTATCTGTAGAGTGTGTGATATACTTAAGTTTCTGTTTTTTTGAGTAGATTGAGAAAATGGGTGGCTTCATGGAATTTTTGATAGAGAAATGAATCATACACACCATTCAAAGATTTTGCCGTTCTTCCATTGTCGCCCTCTTGTTTCCCACCGTCAGATTTTTGCTTGAAATATTTGTTTTTGAGATATTTTCAGCTTTGAATTCTGCTCACTTTTTGGCATATGTTGTTGAATTGGTTAGGAGTGATTCAATCTTGAAACTTCTGGAAATTTGGGATTTTTGTGCTTTTTTTCGTTGTATTTTGATGGGGTTTTGTTAGTTTTTTCTGATTCTGGTGTGGATGAATCTGAGTGACAGTCTACGATATCTATGTTCATTGACCTTTTGAGTGAGGTAACTTTTTTTTAGCTATTCCTTTGAATTGCTAGCTCTAAAGTCCTACCCAGGACATTTATATGTAAGAAATAGCTGATGATATTTCACGAGCATAAGTATTTGGATTGGTTGAAGGTTCTGAAAGCGCATTATATCGGTTAATCAACCTTGAAGTAGGAGAAGAACTCATATTGCTGCGTTAATGTTTGTTTATGTGTAGAGAAGGGGAGTATACTTTGGTTTCTGGGGATGCAAAGTTGTTGAGATGCTTGTTGTGATATTATCAGATTCATGAAGAGTACATACTCTGTAGAGCTTTACATGCTCAATTTCTTGGTAAACTATGTGCAGTAGAGGGAAAACTTTACTGTGATCGAAATGATTCCGTTTCCCTGTTGCTTTATAATTTTTTAATTTTCTGATTTAGCAATAAAGCAATTGGCACATACATTTATCACATAAACAGAGCCATACTGGGACAAATTTTAGCTAAAGGGATGTTACAATATTAATGCGGTTAAAAAGGAAGTGTTAAAGCAAATTATAGATATTGAATATACAATTCATGTACACTAACAACAACAATTACAACTAAACCTCAATTGCAAGCAAGTTGGGGTCTTCTATATGAATTTTCACAGACCATTTTGCTCCTTTTAAGCTCATCTCAAACCAATATTATACATAATTAAAATAAAGAATAAAATCGAAATAGAAAAGATACAATTCCTGTAGGAATCAGAAAATGATTGAAGTGGTTTGCACTTAATAAAAAGCTTTTCTGACTCACCAATTGAAAGAACTACGCTTAAAAGAAGAGGCAGGCTGACATGAAAGACAGAAAGTTGAGATACGAAGCAGTTGATAAAAATGAGGCAAGTTTTCTCTAAAGCGACGTGAATAGTAGTGTTGTTAGAGTCTTATCAAGTTGAGGCAAACTTAATTATGTAAGGGAAGTCTCATCAAGTTTAAGGCGAACATAATTATGTAAGGATCTGGATCTCGCTTTGTCCTTTTCTAGTTTCCCTCCTTTCAAGTTTCTAGTCTTCGATGGAACTTCTTTTCTTAAAAATCCAATGTAATGCTGCTCTTAGAACATGTAGAATTTTTAAAATTCTTTCTAGTTTCTACACGAATTGTTCTTCTTAATGATCTCTCTTTCAACATGGAATCTATGTACATATTGCAGAAAGTGGCCAGAAGGTTAATATTTGGAAAAGGACAAGAAGTGGTAGAAAATGAGACTGATGACCGGAGGAGAAGGATACGGAAATTCAAAGAATCAGCATGGAAATGTATATATTTTCTCTCTGCAGAAGTTTTTGCACTTGTGGTGACATACAATGAGCCTTGGTTTACAAATACCAGATACTTTTGGGTAGGGCCTGGTGATCAGGTCTGGCCTGACCAGATGTACAAGTAAGACCTGTTTTTTTAGTTCCTACTTGGTGTCCTTTGTGTGTAGCTCTTCTCTGTTGCCTTACAGAGGGTAGGGGATGAGGATGGACGGTGACTGGTAATGTATTGAGACATAATTGGTAAAGTTCGCAAGCAAGAATAACTGTTTTTTTGTGATTCTTGCAGGCAGAAGATACTGGCTTATGACCTCTTTTTCCATAAATCACAACATTTTAAAAATCTAGATCTGATGATTTTTAATTAAGCTTACATATTTTTGATTCATAGTCTCTGCATATTTGAGTGACTGTCTTATGTAAATTTAGGTCCAAACTGAAGGCACTTTATATGTATACCGGCGGGTTCTATACATATTCAATATTTGCGCTAATATTTTGGGAGACAAGGCGCTCTGACTTTGGAGTTTCAATGAGTCATCATGTTGCCACTGCAATTCTTATCGTCTTATCCTATAATATCAGGTGTGTTTTTTGTTGAGGTGAGCTTATAGCTTTAATAAAGGTCATTTTATTTGCCTGAGATTTTGCTGGTATATAAGTCCATATTTAGCAAAGGGACAACTTGAGGGTATTCAACTTCTCAAAGCCAGACATGATTGGAGCAGGGGCTTGTCTGAGTTATTAGTTTTATAATTCCTATTGAAAGCGGATGCATGTAAAAAACAATTCAGCTACTAAAAATTATCCTTCATTTTGTGTAGTGAAGGTGTTCTTCTACTGACAAGGTCGATACTCTTTTGGGAAACTCTCTCAATCATGCAAAATTGAATATAGATTGCCTTGTTCTTGTTCAAAACTTCCTTCTCAGAAGACTTTTATGGTAGAAAAGATTCATGAGATTTTCTAGGATCCTGATGGATGTGTTACTCTGTGAAAAATTGAGTTTAATGATGTTATCAATATGTAAAGCTATGAGTCGTGCTATCATATAGGTAAGATATGGGCATGTAACATTATTGGCTTTCTATTTTCATTCTTTTGCAGGTTTGCACGTGTCGGTTCAGTAGTTTTAGCCATTCATGATGCCAGTGATATATTCCTCGAAATCGGAAAGATGTCCAAATACAGTGGTGCTGAAGCTCTTGCTAGCTTTTCGTTTATTCTTTTTGTTTTATCCTGGATTATACTTCGCCTCATATACTACCCGTTCTGGGTTCTTTGGAGTACAAGGTGAGTCGTAGGTGCTTTAACTTTTCCTATTTACAAAGAAGCTAGTTTCTGTTTTTTAGTAGGAACCCTCTTCTTTCTTGATTCAACCTTCTTAAATAAATATAGAAGCACCACCTTATGTGGTTTTCTTTGCTTTAAGTTACCATTTGTTATGGTTTGTTGATGAAGAAGTTCAAACTAACATAATCCTTTAGGCTTTAAATCAGCTTTCTCTGCATTGCCTTGATCCCCCCAAAAGAAAAACTGATAAAAGATCAGCTCTCCCTGTATTGGTTTGTGCCATATCCTAGACACACTGGTTCCGGGAGCTAATTATGCTGTGTATTAGTGCTCAGTTCTTAATTCAGGGGATTCAGTATAGTCAACTATCTCAGTATTGAGGAGTTGTTGATTGATTGGTGTTAACATTCAGTTCTCTTTTGAAAACTTCATGTGTTTTTGCAGAAATATGAACTTACTAGTTAATGTTACCCTTTTTGTGAGAAATAGTCGTGTATGTGATCTATGTGAAAATTCTTTTGTTTCTGTAAATGCAGTTATGAAGTTCTCCAAACCCTGGATAAGGAGAAGCACAAAGTGGATGGACCAATCTATTACTATATCTTCAATTCTCTTCTATTTTGCTTGCTGGTTCTTCATATATATTGGTGGGTGTTGATATACCGGATGCTTGTTAAACAAATCCAAGCGAGGGGCCAATTGAGCGACGACGTTCGTTCTGGTAAGTTAAAGAGACACATGCTTATATTGAACATCTTGATGTAATTTTTTCACTGCAAATCGTTGCTAAAGTGTCCACATAAGCACCCAAAAAGAAAAACTATTTCTCATGCTCCTTCCTCCTGAACGTCCGACCTGGTAGCACATCTATGACAGTTCCTGTCATCATCTATGAACACCGAACAATTTCCACACACACCGTAGTTTGTATGCATCTGACAATAGTCTGCAGACATTTGATTTCCTCTCCTACTCTTTTGCACATAATACACCATATGATCTGAACTCTCATTCTTTTCGTCGTGTTTCCTGCATAAACCGCTTCCAATGTTGTTCATCGCAATAAAAAATAATACTTGTCCCAATGCCCTAGGCAACCATTAGATGTGTGAGGAAGCTTTATGTTTTCTCATCTTAGAACTCGTTATAGGCAGATTTGACCGTGAAAATGCTGTCCTTTGATCCTTCTTTTTTGCACTGTTTGTGACTGTGACTGAGGGATGAGGAATCTTTGAAGTTTTGGCTTGGACCATGGCTCCTTAACTCTTGATGAAGCGAGTTTAGCACCTGTAACTAAGAGGAAGGGCAATCCATTACTCTAGACGATGTCTGACATCTCATTCGTTCCTGTAGAAATCTATTTGTATTAAAATCCTCCTCTATAACCTACCTTATCTCCTTTCTGACATGAGTCCAGATAATTTCCGGAACTCCAAATAGACCCCTTCCTGCTGACCCATAGACTCTCATAAACACCAGGCAATTGTGCTACCCACACTCTTAAAAACTATGACAATGGTGATATTTCCTTTTCTTATGTCCCTGAATTTGTTTCCAGTACGTTCTTCATGAAGTTAATTAAATTTTACGCAATGTTACAAAGGGATCTCTACTATGTTGGCTTGCTTCATCTTGGGAGGATAAATTATTTTTTACTTTTTAGAACATGATTCAAATAGGAGTACTTGTTTTTTGTGCATAGTTTCTAGTCTATACGTCTATAGTGCATCTATATAAAGTACTTTGTTTTAAATAATGTTTACGGGACTGTAAAAAACTATTAGGATTAAAAACGTGGAGTTAGATGAATTGGGCTTTGTAATACTGCTTCCACAAGCTGACTGGATGTGGGATTGTACAATACATGTTTGGCTACTTCCATATCTGCAAATTATAGAAAGTGAAACTTCAAAAACTTGTACCGTCATTAAGACCATTCAATATGAGGAAAAGAAGTATTCATTTTTCTGAGAGATGTTTAGTCTAGGCTATTACCAACCGTCACAGACTTATTTTGCTGCTATTATTGACTCTCTATGGAAGCAAACTGTTTTTTACCATATTTCAATTCTGATCCTTGATTGTGTTCTGCCTCATGCAGATTCTGAAGATGAACATGAAGATTGACCGTGTCTGAAAACTTCTACTGCTGCTATGTTCATGTGAAGGTAGTTGATCAATCTTAATTGATTTGGATGTTAAATGGGGAAAAAAGATACACAAAAGGATCACAATAATCAGTTTTTGTGAATTATATGGTACTTGTAAATACGCAATTCTAATCTGTCAAAGAGGCACATGTGAATATTTATGTTAACGCTATGGGGATCTTGAGGGCATTCCTGCTTTATCTAAACTCACAATTGCCATTCTTCGTTTTAATTGCAAAACTTTGACCATCCATTGCTGTGAAGTTCTACATGTCTGCGAAGTTCTTTGTGAAATAACTCACATTGTTATTTTCTTGGCCATTCTTGAGCTCAGGTGACGAGGGAAAATATCTCGACTTGTTACTTATGTTTGTTGTGCTTTTCTTTTGCAGAAAGGAAGCAACCAAACGCTCTTAAGAACTTGTCGATGAACTGAAGCTTCTATGCTATTAAGTTGATGCTTTGGCTCATCAAAACTTGTGATTAGTTGAGGTAGGTTGAAGGAACTTCATTAATGGAGAAAGAGGCCACTTGATCATTTGTAGTTAATTTTACTCCCCATTTTCTGGTCATTGACACTGCCATAGGAACATTAACATCTTATTTCCTCTTTCTATTCTGTAATTTTTTGGCACCAACAATGTGCATAATGACTTTTGATTTGTAAAATATTAGACTCGAAACCGTTTCGCGCCCTAAGGGAGTTGATGTAAACTTATTCATTATACTTCTGCAGTAGTTTCCAGTTGCACTTGAAAAATCACATTCCAGTCTTGCATGGTTTCAACAGTGACTGGATACTCCTTTTCCAGAATTTGCTTTGGAGTTTGGAAATGCTTTCCCTTTTCCTTATTTGAGTCGAGGGTTTATCGGAAACAGTCTCTCTATTTTTACACGTTAGGGGTAGTAAGACCTCGTTCGTGGGATTATATTGGATTTGTTATTGTTGTCAGATTCCATCCACAGTTCAAGTGAAAGATCATGAACAAAGTGTGGCCTATCCTCACATTTGAGCCAACTTCAAAACTTGGAAGCTTACTTACCCTCCCTTCGGCTGACTCGAACATTCAACTTATCGATTAATAACGGGAGATACTTTAACGCATAAAGAAAAGTCTTTTTTACAACAATAAATCACCCTAACCTACCTAATTCATAATAAGTTTCGATTTACTAACGACCGATTTGATGTGATCTTGACGAGTGACATTTAATAAACCATGTTATAATACTTGTCCAATTAATTTGTGTTCTCCTTGTGCAATTATTTTCAACTTTTAAAAAAGCATGAAAAAAGAAAAAGAAAAAAAAGTGAAAATTACATATTCCTATTAAAAAATACAAAAAAGTATATATAAAGTAAAAATAAAAATTAAATTATATCCCACACAGTATTGAAGGTTCTGCAAGCAACATTTTCTTCAGTCGAGTTGATAATCAGTGTGTCCCTTCTCGTCGGAGCTGTAAACTCATCTCCATTTTTTCCGGCGGAATCAATTTGTAAGTTCCTTATTTCCCTATTTTCTGCCCTAATCGCTTTTTCAAATTGAATTGGCTCTCTAATTTGCAACTCTCATTGTGTTAAAAAAAGCTTCAATTTTTCAAATTTGTATCGATAATTTTTTCTTTTTCTACAAGGTTTTATAAGTATTTGCTTGATATCCATGTGATTTTCTAGAAAAAGGGGTAACAGAGATAGAATCTCTCTTTACATTATGGGATTCTTTTTTCTGGCGCAGTGAGATCCTAGATTTAGAGGTTAGTGGGTTTCGGAATGATCTATTATAGATATACCTTTTTTTTATTGCATGTGTATACGAAGTTCAAGCTGAAAGCGCTAGTTCCACCTCTTGACTTGGGGAGAAAGTAAAAAAAGAACTTCATTTATTGAATGAGAAAGGAGATATTTTGAGAAAGCTTTATGTGAATGGTACTTGTGAATAAGCTTAATGTAGCTGCTTAGAATGTTTATTTGAACATAATTGCTTTGAGTCTATTTCTCAAATGGATACTTGGTTTACCCATTCTATTGGTTCTAGTTGTTGTTGTGAACGAATGAATTATCTTTGTTTCCTTGTGAAGAAAGTGCATGTATTGTGTTTGTGCAAACCAGTAATTTCAACTTCTGGTGTTTGAGTCAGTTAGCTATTAGACGAGAGGGGGTTGCTTGGATGGTAAGTACCCTCCTCCTCCAATGCTAAGGTTGTGGGTTCGAGTCATTGGGCTAAAAGGTGGGAGCTACTAGGGAGGGGTAAAAAGAAAGAAAGAAAATCAGTTAAGTGTGCTTGTACCCAAACTCTAATCACTCCCTTGACATTGGCCTTAATGTCACTATGTGAATTTAATAGTAGTTGATATCTGTAACAATTAAGAATCTTTTTGTATTCCAAGAACACTAGTTATAAGAGAACCCTTATGAATAATACAAAGTAAAGGAGTACTGCACAAATAACGGAAGCAGTTTTGTTTCTCAAAGAAGTAAGAAGCGGTTCTACATTTTCATTTTCTGAAAAGAATAGCAGAAGTTTCAAGTTGAATTTTCACCCTTCCCTTTTCTATGCTACTAAATAACAAGATGTTTCACACTTTATCGATCTGACCCTGTTTATTTATGGGATTCCTCTCTGTTGGCTGATTAAAAACACATTCTTTTCAAAAAAGAAAAAAACTTGGAGAGTTTGTTTTGGTTGTACTAGCTAATGATAACTTTTGGTAATTAAAAGATACTGTAGATAGCATCACATTCATAGGGCTTCAAAGGAATCTGAGTCTGGAGCTAGCATTGATGCTTTTTAATTGTATTCAGTTAACTATTCCAGTCAGTGACCATTTCAATGGTGTCTTTTGTTGAGAACTGGAGTGGCTTTTCCAGTAGGTTCAGTACTTTTTGCTGTACTTCTTGAATTTGATATTTAATCCCACATCTTTTACATATTCAATAACTTTCTTATTCTAACCTGTGACCAATTTGCACCAAATCTGGAAGGCCTCTTGCTTTCCTTTTTCCATTTTTTCTGTATCTTCTGAATGTTGAAGAATGAAAATAAAATTCTGATTCAAGCTCATCAAAGTTGAGGTTAGTGCTTGAGGAATCTGGAATCAACTCAAGTGAAATCATATTCTTGGGTTAAGTTGAGCTTGAAAATGAACTTAAACTCAATTGTTTCTCGCTAAATAGGGGAAGCTGCCAAAACATCTATCATTTCTTTGCTTGTATTGATTGCATTCTTCATGCATATCTCTTCAAGTTTACACTTGCCATGAAGCTGCTTCTCTCTCTCTTTTTAAAAATAATATCATGCTGATTTCATCTTTTGGTCAGATAACTGTTTATTTCTTCTTCTTTTTCTATTTTACTTTTTTAATTACTACTCCCTCCGTCCCATTTTATTTGACACACTTTGACTTGGCATAGTTTTTAAGAAAAAAAAGAACCTTTGAAACTTGTGTTCTAAACAATCCTTAGATATATGTGTGGTTGTAAGTCATTTAAAAGGGGAATTTTAAAGTTAATTTGTTTCTAGTTATAGAAAGGTGACATTCTTTTTGGGATGGACTCAAAAGGAAAGGATGTCATATAAAATGGAACGGATGGAGTATCATTTTATGTATCTTTTGTTTTATGTTTTCACTTAATGATTTTTTTTTTGAGAAAGGTGTTTCTTTTTTCTTTTAGGAGCACTTTAGAATCATATTCTAGCAACGAGTACTTGCTTTTCCAAACACATTCTTCAAAATTGTCAGGACTTCATGTTGCCAATTGATCTGTTTGGACCCCTCTTGATATTAGGAAGTTGATTGCCACTGTTCCTTTTTTTTTATATAAGATGGAAAAATATTCGTAGAGTTTTTCCTTCTTGAGTTACATGATCCAGTAGTTATTGTATTTGTTAAGCTACTCCCTAGACTAAACCAGTGTCTTTTAACAGCCATCACTTCATCGCTTAAAGTGATGTGGGTGATGCCCCGTGCCCTTAGAGAAGTTTGTGCTTCAAAAACTGGTGCACAAACTGATTCCAACGAGGTCTCTTTTTCGAATCTCAACTTTGAGTAGTTGGATTAACATGGACATGATTATATCTTTGATGCTTTAGTTGTGTGAATTGCAACTTAGTTTTAATTGTACTAAACTCATGTTTGTTTGATCATTTCTAATTTCTCTTAAATTGTATGCTTTGCTTTAAAGAAGTGTGCCCTTCACTTCTCTCTTTTCGCTTCAAGCCCCATGGATTTGATTGCTTTTGAAATCACTGGATTAGACCATGTGGACCAGCTACCATCCTTTCTGTAGATACAATGATTGCGCGTAGTAGTAATTTGGATAGGGGCATCTTCAAGCCGTTGTTTTTGAAGTGAATCTCTTCACCCTGTTCAGTAACCTGGTCTTGATTTCTTTTCCTTCATTTATCTTTTCTCAAGTTCATATTTTCAATGATGTCGGCAAACAAGATGCTAACTAGATACTCTAGGCAGCTCATTTGGAGCAGTGTCATTGATCACCTCAAAATTTTGAGATCAACCTGAGTTAGAAGCTACATGATTTGCATTGATTTGATTGTCTTTCCAATTTGGGGATCTCCAATTGTTATTAACTTATAATGTTATGGTCTCTATAGCTTCATGATTTGCATTGATTTTGATTGTCTTGCCAATATGGGGATCTCCAATTGTTATTGACTTATAATGTTATGGTCTCTATTTTTCGTGCTTTGGTGTTGCATGCTTTTACATTGACTAAAGTCGTTTAACTTTGTGGCAATTACTCTCTAGCTTTCTCTATTCCTGCTGGAAGAACCTTGGCTGGATAGTTGAACTTGCTTTATTTGTTGATCTCCAAATTTTGTCTAAAAGGCTATGTTCTTAAGCTCTTTGACGTGGCGATGTGCTTTGGCAATTGAATTGATTTATAACACATAGGAAATGTGTCCATATGTTGCAACGAGTAGAGTGATAGAATTTTGTTGAATATTTTGCAGGTGATAGGTTGACCAAACAGATATGGAAGACATACTTACAGAAATCCCTCCACCTTCAAGGTTCTTTTTGGAAGATCTGAACAACTTTTGCCCTCCATCTCCTCCTCTTCCCTCTCCATTCCTGTTGTTTTCAACTCCTAACCAGGAGAAGTTTTCTCGTCCTTCTCTCCTCATCATTGCCATGTCTTCTTCGTCACTTCAAGTTTTTCATCATGTTTCTTCCAAAACCCTTGTTGGAACTGTTATCCTTCCTGAGATCCCATTCTCTGGCAATTCGGTTGAACCCTCTCTTAAAGACAAATCATGCAATATATATGCCCTGAATGAAGATGATAACTTGATTATGATTGTGTGTGTTCAATATCAAGTTACTGCAGAGAGATCTCATGCAGTCGCAAAGCTACTGATTGGAGAACAGGTTATCCCGGAAAAGGTCTTAATTTTGGATTCCATCCGAAGTTCTAATTATAGAGGAAGACTTTCACCCGATGAAGCATTTGCATTTAAGCTGGAATCATCTGCAGAGAGAAAAGCAAAAGCTGATGGCCATCAAGATTCACCACTGGTAAAATGCGCAGACTATCTTCCATCAGGAAGTGTTGTAGATGGCCTGGCAGCAGCTTTATTGAGCCGATGTCAGTTAAAGAAGATAAGGGGAACTCTGTGTGTTTCATGGCCTGAAGTCGGTGTTTCAGTTACATCACTCGTTAAGTCTCTACTGCTCAAAGATGTCCTCTCCCGCGTGAAGC